CGCCTCGGCGGCTGATCCTCCCCCCTCCCGCCCGAGCTCGCCATCTCCCCCTCAAAACCCTAACCAAATCGAAACAAACTCAGCCCCAACCCAACTCAAACTGCACAATCACCCTTAGCTCACCAGCTCAGATCTGAGAGAAGAGCATCAGAAAGCGGAGAGAAAAGGGAGATGAAAAAGGAAACCCTAGCTTTTGAGAGAGAGAGAGAGAGAGAGAGAGAGAGAGAAAGTGAGGAGTGAAGTGTGCTGCTGCTCGAAGCAAAGCTCGTAGGGGAGAGAGAAGAAAACAAAAACTAGAAAGGGAAGCGTGGGGCCGGGAGAGGTGGTGGGTGGAGGGGGGGTGTAATAAAGGGGCAGGGGTTTTCGGAGTATTTACGAGAAAGGAACTGGTCAATTTGAATTGAGTACGACGTTTCCGTTGGCTAGATTGACTGTTCTCATTGGATTTCATTGCTGCCGTAATTACTACACTTGTTTAAAAAACGGCTTTTTATGATTTAAATTTGGGTTTTTTTAAGATATGCAGTCCCTCATATTTTGGAAATTGCATCACGGTCCCTCAAATCTTCAATAGTATGGCCTTAAATTTAACACTCTGAGACAAAGTGGCCACTTTACCCCTTGATTATGATCTCTAACCCATTTGTTAATGGGTTTAAACCCAACAACAAATTAAAAAAATCCAAACTCACTTGAGTTCTTCTTCTCTGATGATTAGACTAGAGGAGGGGCCATTTTGCAAGGCCCTATAGGATTTGAGGGATTAACATTCAATTTTTAAAATTTGAGGGCTTGATATGCAATTATTGAAGATTTAGGGGACTAATATCTGAGAACCTTTAAATTTATAAAAGTACTACAATTAATCAAACAAAAAGTTATGATTGGGATTTTTTTTTCAAAATTATAACCATCGTAATTAGAAACTTGCGATCTAAAACATTACCACTCGTGGTTGCTTACAGTTCTAATTCGTGATTTATTTTTTTTCTTCTTTTCTTTCTTTTTGGATCAGAGAATAAGATTGCTTAATATTTCCTGCTAATAGAATATCGATATTAAAGAAAATATAAAATAACCAAAAAAGAGATAGGATGCACCTCATATTCATCCGTATAGCCAGGAGTGCCAACTTATTACTCAATCCATCAACCCGACCCGACCCATTTATAATCTGTATGGGTCGAGTTACATAAGTCGGGTCATAAACGGATCAACATAAACTAACTCATTTATTAGATGGGTTAAACAGTCTTCTAGATTACTCCGTATGATGTCGTGGACCAACAAAAGTAGAAAAATATAAAAGGGACGTGAAAGGGGTGGGATTTTCAGAATGTTGGTATTTTGATCTTCTGCCAGCACGTGATCTACGCACAACAAACCAGAATTACTAATACTTGTTTTTGATGATTTTTTGACAAACTTATCAGAGTCTAAATGAAATAATCAAAAAATTCAGGCTCAAGTGAGCATCACCGGACCTTATTTAGGTTTTTGGAAACTTTGTCACTTTAATCAATGAGAAAAGAATTTGAAATTAAAGAAAAAGTACCTCCTTCTGATATCCTTCGCACGTGAGTCTCCATTAACAAGTAGAGTTCTACAAGAACCGGACAAAATATAGGAATCCTGCAGACTTTGGTGGGCATGTGGTCCAAAATCCTCACATGGGAAATTAATTAAAGAGTGCTTAAAAGGACATCAAATTAATAAAGACTCAGGGCTAATTTTGTAATTTGTAGAAGACCGGAGGGGCTCTTCTCGCCTACCTTTTCTTCCTCCCCAAGATGTCGTGCTTTCGGTGTCGCACCCATCCGAGGCATCAACACAATTATTGGTCCCAAATTGCCAAATCTTAAATAAGAAGAAGTTGATATATTTATCATTGAATTATTATTACAGATATTTTCTAACTGTTTTTTCTTCTTTCTCCTACTTTTTTTGATAAACAACTTCAAAGGGGTTTTTGGGACATACGATACGGTATAATGTACTCTGTCTGTATTTTATTATTACCAAAGCCTCATTGTTGTTTTTTTAATTTGTGATTTTACACGTCGAGTTAAGATGTTCCAATATGATTCTCACGATCTTGGGTTCAATTCCCGGTTGGGTTATTCAATAAATGACGGTAATGCACGTACTAATAATTATCTTAATTTTTACTAGTAAATATTTTTAAAAAGAAGTAAAAGATGGTTCAATTTTTTTAAAAAGACAGAAAAAATAATTGCACAAACTCCTTTAGACCCAAAAATGCACATGGAGATAGGATTTGTGCGTATGGATGTACATTTTTTATGGAAAACCAAACCCCTGTCAATTTGTATTTGCATAGAGGAATCTTGAATCACCTATCAACTATGCTTTAGTAACCTCTGCTTTGTTGAATATGCACGTTGTCCATCTATAATCAAAGAGGGCACAAAAGGGTGTACATTGTAAGAAAGCGCCAAATTAAGTAAGCTTGGTTTGTAGGATGGAAGGTGATGGGAGGGGAGAGATAAAAATTAGATTTGACTTTGATAATAAGCTTTAGAGAGAGTTAGAGTTGGAGGGAGGAGAGGAGAAGGAAGGGGACGTCACAAATTGAACTAATAAGTTAGAATAGAAAAATCCCTCTAAATTGGGAAGACACGAGAGGAGAGAGGAAAGGAAATACAAAAGCATGCATCTCTCATCTCCTCCCCTCCAATCAAACATAAATGCTTAGAAATATGCCCACCCTTCCACCTCATTGCACTTCCCATCACCTCACCTTCCCTCCTCAAGCCTCTCCCATTAATTTTTACGCCATCTTTTTGGGTTCACCTCAATCATCTCCTTCCCCTTTATATTCAAACCGACTGAGTTTAAAATTTAATATTTTATAAGCTATAATCCAAAAAAAATTGCTATTCTTTCATTTTGATCTATTGGCAAATAATTTTGTATAGACCAAAAATTACGATTTTTTGAGCTATTACCCACAAATTTGACCATTTGTAGTCATTTTAGTCTATTGAAAAAGATTTTGATAGTGGCAAAAAATTAACGATTTCACGAGCTATAGTCCATGATTTTTAGCATTTTTAGTCTTTCCGATCTATTGACAAATAATTTCAAGGAGAACGGTATCCATAATATCACAAGCTATGACCCATAATTTTTGGTCGTTTTTAGTCATTTCGACTAGCTGTCAAATAATTTTAATGATGCTAATATTTATGATTTCATGAGCTATGACCTACATTTTTTAGTCTTTTTTGTCGTTTTCACCCATTGGCAAATAATTTTCCTACGGCCGAAATTCATGATTTCATGAGCTATAACCCATAATACTTGGCCAATTTTAGTCATTTTAACCCATTAATAAAAATCTCACAATAGCTAAAATTCACGATTATAACTCATTATTTTGAACTATTTTTAGTTATTTCAACGCTAAGAAATCAATTTTGCAAAAGCTAAAAGTTATGATTTCATGAATTATAAGCCACAACTATTTGGCCATTTTTATTCGTTTCAACCCATTGATAAATAATTTTATGGAGACCAAAATTCATGATTTCGTAAGCTATAATCTATGATTTGTAGCCGCTTTTAGTTGCTTCGACCGGTTGGTAAATAATATTACAGTGACCAAATATCATAATTTCTCGAGCAATAAACCATGTTTTTTGGCCATTTTTAAGTCGTTTCAACACATTGACAAATAATTTTGCAGAGGCCAAAATTTATGATTTCATGAGCTCCCATGATTATTGGTCAATTTTAGTCATTTTGACCTATTGATAAATAATTTCATGAAGGCCAAGATTTATGCTTCTAATGGTTATTTTGACTATTTTTAGTCATTTCAAACAATTGGCAAATAAATTTGTGAAAGCCAAAATTCATAATTTCAAGAGTTATAGCATAAGATATTTTTTCATTTATTCATTTTGACATGTTGTCAAATAATTTTACGATGGCCAAAATTCAAGATTTCATAAGCTATAACCCATCATTTTCGGTCCTTTTTAGTCCTTTTGACACCCATGAGTTTTGACCATTTTTAGTCATTGTGAACTATTGGTATATAATTTTGTGTAGCCCAAATTTCGCGATTTCATGACCTACAACCCGCTTTTTGGCCATTTGTAGTCGTTTTGACCAATTGACAAGTAATTTCACCGAGGCTAAAATTCAAGATTTCATGAGTGATAACCCATGAATTTTGGCCAATTTCTTGTTTTCAACCCATTAGCAAATGATTTCATAGTGACTAAAATTCATGATTTCGTGAGCTTTAGCCCACGATTTGGGCTAGTTTTAGTCATTTTGACCCATTATCAAATATTTTCATAGTGACCAAAATTCATGATTTCGTGAGCCATAAACAACGATTTTTGGCTATTTTTAGTTATTTTGACTCGTCGGTACATAATTTCACTGAAGCCAAAATTCACAAAAAAAAATCGCTTTTATGAGCTGTAATGTGTGATTTTTGGCCATTTTATAGTGTACACCCTCATCCTAATAATATGTGTTTGCTTATAGTAGAGGATAGAAAGGGAAATGAGGCTACTTGATTGATGTGCCGTTCTAAAGAAATAATAGACAATTTTATTAATTATGAGTTCTGATTTTCTCATAGGGGAATCTTGAAAATTCCAGAAAAGTTCACTTACAATCCCTCTGCTCCGCTCACCCTTATTGACTAAAAAGTGTAAACAAATACAATTTTCGGAGAGTTATCATTCTAACCTCCTCTTTTTCCTCCCCTCTTTCTTTTAATTTGTTAAAGTAAGAGAGAGAGAGAGAATCTTGGGTAAATTTCCCTTAAATTGAATATTGAGTGTGCACATATATTTATACAAGTAGAGGAGTGTGAGGTTTGTTCTCCCAAGCAATGTGGGACTAAAACCCACTACAATACACTATTATCAACAGCCCCCTTCAAACTCATGTTGGATCAAACAAAGTGAGTTTGCGTACAAGAAACTGGAACCG